AGTTTGGTACGGTGACTATCGATTTATATTGTAGCTACGTAACACAGTAAGACAACTTTGAGGGGATCTATATCTCACAATTATGTCTACCTAATGCACTCACCAATAAGCTACTAAATAATTTTTCAAAATAATTTTTGTGCTATTTGAAATTATTAAAAATTGCTTATCTAATCATTATGACAATAAATAGAGATTAGGATCCACAGGATTACATTTGTGAAGAGAAGAGATCAAACCAATGGCGTATAATTTGGAAGTAGCTAGTATGCCATACTTAAATTTCTCTACTAGCTCGATCTCATTTTATTTGGTATCTATTACGAATATATGTCACTAATGACATGACAAATACTTCCCTAAGTTCTAAAGTCAATTGCAATGATGTTAATACAAAGCACAAATCTTTAGCTCGGATTCTCTCTCTCATCACGAGAGCGGCATCAGAAACATTACCAATTCAATGATACCTCTCGAAGTTAAGAATGTTTTCAATATATTAGACTGAAATTTGCTGGTTTGAATTGATTTAGTATAATCTGTTTAAGTGTGATATTGTCTGATTGTATTTGATCTGATCTCGTGAACGTCTGGTCTCTGTGTATTTTATAATTATGTAAGTCTGGTCTACTCTGTTTAAGTTTGGTCTAGCCCGATCTGTTTAGAGATCCGATATGTTTTGGTTTGATCTGTTCTGAGACTAAAAAACAATCCAAGTAAAAACATTGTAAGAGATTCGACCCCACCAAAAACCTACTCATTCCGTCTTATTGAACTTTTTTCATTTTTGATTTGTTTCAAAATATTTATCACTTCTCTTTCAAAGAGAATGATTATAAATCAAGTCATTGTTTAAAGTTGAATCCTCACCTTTCACTTGTAGCGCCCTCTTCCAGGACCGGTGAGCTACGCTCCCCTGGTATCAAGAGAAACCTACCATTCCGACTAAAGTGCCTCATTGTAGCTTGTTTCAGTTCTTTGACTAGGAGACAAAGGTTGTATCGATATAACTTGTGATGTGCATTATTTATCTGTGAATCTTTATTTAAAAAAATTATAAACTTTTAAACTCATAGATTTTTTATGAATTGACACTGTTGATTTGAATAAATCTATGCATTTTATATGAATGATAAATATTTATCAATTTCATTAAAAATACAAGTTTAGAATTTAAACAAGAACTATATTAATGATAAAAAAACAAGAACTATATTAAGTAACACTGATAATTAATTCCAAAACTGATAAGAAGTCAACTACTTCGTACATGATTCCACAAAATGATAAGAAACAATTGCACGGAGTATAAATTAAATGTAACTTTAAAGTATTTCGCTAAATCCAAAGGGTTTCAATTCATTTCTAGATGAATCATACTAGCGAGTTAATAACGTATTTTGAAGTGCTATGGCCTTGATCAGTTTTTGCTAATTCAATAAAATTGAAACATGTTTACTATCTCGACCTAGCAACGTAACGTTTTATTTACTGTAATCAATTACATTAATTTATATATTTTTGTAAATGTTATCAATTTTATATTTATACTTTCGTGTGAAGGCAATTTTAACAAATAATATTTTCGTGTTTCAAATAGTTTTATGTACGTCCAGATTTCACATTATTGACCGGGTTTCTATAAACAAACATCATACCAAAACGTCCATAAAAGAAATAAAGAAGGGACCTCGATACTATTTGACATTTTTACTTTCACATTTTCTTGAATGTAAGGAATTATTACACTTTAAAAAAATTGGAATCATGGCTACTTGAAATTATAGAATTGTTTATGATAAATGAATAAGTCAATGATCGAAATAGAATAATGTAAAACTAAAGTCTTGTAGCTGAAATTGCTAAAACGCCATTTTCCACGGGGCAAAATAGTAAATGTGAGGAGAATACCGGCGGTGTCAAAGCCGACGTATCCCATAACCACCATGATGTGTCAGATGACGGTGGCTGATCCCAAAAATGTCATCCACTTCCAACTTAATTACGCTCCTCGCCTCCTCCGCCTCCTCCGCCGGCCACCTTTTATGTGTTTCTCCCATCTTGATGTCACTTTATAATTTTATATTTCTTTCCGTCTTTTATTTTCTTGGAAAATGTTGGGTGTACGTTTTTCAGTGTACACTATTCATAGATTTTATCTGTTTATGTAGAGAAAGTTCTCTATGTGCAAAGAACTCTTGTATTTCGGGAACAATTTATTTTTATACAAGACAACTTTGTTTGTCTATAAAGACAAGGTGTGTGAATGGTGTACATGAAAAAAAGACCTCGAAATTGCATAAAAGGGATAAAATAATTCTTTATATAGGAGGTTCTATCCGGCCGTCGCCATTTGGGGCGGTCCCTGTGGAATTTTTTGATGAAATTTTTTGAGCATCTTATTCATTAAGTCTAGTTCACTCATACCAAATTTCAGATAAAAATTCAATCGGGAAGACATTCAAATGAATTCTTGAAGATGATTGTACAGTTATTTTCAAGTATTCATTTGAATGCGCATTCTCGATTGAATTACCCAAGCGCCAGCTGTATGGCATTATTCTTTTGAGCGTGTGGGCCATATGATCCGATCTCCTATACTCGATCTATCAACAGTCGATTTGAGTATTATCAAGCGAGCTCTTAATATTATACGTACGGAGTAGTAAAATTGAATTACTAAGATCAATTTTACTTTGTCAAAAAAAAGATCAATTTTACTATAAATGGTAATATTAGAGAGAGATTAAAAATGTATGTAGGCATATGTAAAAAGTCTAACTTTAACGGCTGAAGTCATGATTATGTGCATGCTGAGCCTGATCGATATTGAACTATGTAAACATATTACAAAAATCGTGACTAAACACAAGGAAACGGGATAAGGGTCAGTTTGGTCCTCGAAGTTGCAAAAGAGGGGTCAAATAAGTCCTTATATAGAAAATTCTGTCTGGACGTGCCATTTGAGGTGGCTCCCGGTGGAATTTTTTGATGAAATTTTTTGAGCATCTTATTCATTAAGTCTAGTTTTTTCATACCAAATTTCAGATAAAAATTCAATCGGGAAGACATTCAAATGAATTCTTGAAGATAACTGTGCCGTTAAAAGCGCAGTTATCTTCAAGAATTCATTTGAATGTCTCCCTGATTGAATTTTTAACTGAAATGTGGTATGAGTAAACTAGACTTAATGAATAAGATGCTCAAAAAATTTCATCAAAAAATTCTATCGGGAGCCACCTCAAATGGCACGTCCGGACAGAATCTTCTATATAAGGACTTATTTGACCCCTTTTTTGCAACTTCGAGGACCAAACTGACCCTTTACTCACAAGGAAACTCATAACTTAACTCTTAACTTTATTTGAGCTTTCACTTAAAAAATTACAAAAACAAAAATGCGAACAAAAAAGCGATTAAAAATGTATTTACGCCTATGTAATTTTTATTTGTACACATTCATGGCCGGCACTGGCGTATGTAGCTAGGGGCAATCTATATCCCCGCCCATCCAAATATAAAAAAAACAATGCACAACTAATTATTAGTGTAAATTGCAAAAAAAAAAAACTAATTATTAGTGTAAAATCCTTCAAAAAAAAAAAACTAGTTAGTGTAAAAAAATTGGTGCAATGAATTCCTTGTACGGTTAAGTCCGACAGGGCCGGCCATGGGGTAAGGAAACCTAGACAATTGTCTAGGGCCCCCAAATTTTTGGGGCCTCCAATTTTTTATGTAAGCCTATATATATATTATATATATATTTGATTTAAATTGTTATTTTGCTTATTACTTAGTGGACGAGTGAGCAAGGGAATGCCGAACGCTTCAATTTCTCTGCCAGACTGCGACTCTTCACTCTTCGACGGCAAAATGGCAAATCCCAGGATTCCCAGCTACGCCAGCAATCGCCAATCGCCACGCCAATAGCTTATAGCCGGTCGTTCCTCTAACCCTCTTGGCTCTTGCAATTCCGCCGGCGTAGACGGTAGATCGCAGGTCTGCAGTGGCCGACTGGCCGCCGTCCAGTCCGGCAGTGAGCCAGTGAGCAGTCCCATGACTCCCACCAAGGCCACCAGTGCCGCACAGGGCCTCCAAGTCTCCCGTCTCTGAGACTCCGACTAAGCCTAATTGCCTAAAGGTATGTAATACGTAGTATTGGGTTATTTCTTTAATTCTTCAATAGTAAATCAAATAATAGTAATTCAATTTAGTCATTAAAAAGTATTGTGTATTTGTATAATTGTATATTTGTATTTATATGATTGAATATTGAAAGTTAGAAAAACTTTATGTAATTAGAAATTGTATGAAATATTGAAATTGTAGGTTTATGATGACTGGAAAACGAAAACATGACTCGGGGTGTACAAAGAGAAAGAACAAATTAAGAAAGGACATGGTCATAAAATCGTTTGCCGGCTCTATGGATCGGTACATAATATCAAAACCTTCTCCCTCAAATATTGTTGAGAATGAGGCTACAAATGTTGAGGTTGAAGTAAATGAGTGTGAGGATGTAAGTTGTGAGAATAATGTTGAGAATGTGGGGAATGAAAATGGCAATGTCAATGATGGTGATGAGAATGAAAATGTTTGGGCAGAGAATGTAAATGATGAGATTTTAAATGATCTCTCTGCTTTGTTGAACTCAGACGATTTATTTGACCCAGGAAATTGGAAAGCACCTATTTCTCAAAAACAAATAGACTTGTTGGTCGAGAGAGGTCCCATAAGAATAAAAGGGGTTGAGTATCCTATTGATAAGCAGCGTAGTTTCAATGACAAATACTATACTCGTTGTTTGGGAAACATGGAAAGATATGATAGGCCATGGTTAGTTTATTCTTTGTCAAAAAACAAAGTCTTTTGTTTATGTTGTGTGTTATTCAAGAAAGGTGCAATGCAAAGCCCTTTAACCACTGCAAGTCAAGGGTATAATGATTGGCACAACTTAAATACTAGACTTGTAGAGCATGAATTAAGCATGGATCATATCCATAATTTGCAAGCATGGAGAGAGGCCGAAGTAAGATTGAAAAAAAGGGTGACAATAGATGCTTCCCGAGAACAAGCTATCAACAAAGAAAAAGAGTATTGGAGAGTTGTTTTGAAGAGAATTGTTATTGTTGTCAAGACCCTTGCTACTTGTAATATAGCTTTCCGTGGAGATAATGAAAAGATTGTAGATGACAACAATGGGAATTTTTTGAAGATTATTAATATGATTGCTGAATTTGATCCGATAATGGAAGAACATCTCAGGCGTATTCGGGAGAAAGAGATCCGAAATCATTATCTTGGACACAACATTCAAAATGAGATGATCCAACTTTTGTCAAATGAAGTGAAAAAGAAGATCCTCCAAGTAGTGAAAAGTGCAAAGTATTTCTCTGTTATCCTAGATTGCACACCTGATGTTAGTCACGAGGAGCAAATGACATTCGTCCTAAGATGTGTTAATGTGTCTACGAGTCCAATTCGAGTGGAGGAGTTTTTTATTACATTTGTGAAAGTTGTTGAGACAACCGGAGAAGCTCTCTTTCATGAACTTAAAAGACTCCTTGAGACCCATGAGCTTGATTTTAACAATGTAAGGGGACAAGGATACGATAATGGCTCTAACATGAAGGGAGACAACAAGGGTGTACAAGGTAGAGTCTTACGGGAATATCCTAGAGCATTTTATACTCCATGTGGTTGTCATTCTCTCAACCTTGCCCTTTGTGATATGGCTATGAGTTGTCCGCAAGCAAAAACATTTTTTGGTGTTGTTCAACGAATCTATAAATTATTTTCGGGTACGTTTATGTTGATTATATTTCATTAATTAACTAATTTATTTTTTAAATAACTAATTTATTTATTGTATAACTATTTTTATTATTAATTTTTATCATTTCAGGTTCAACAAAACGATGGGAGGTTTTCAAGACTTATGTTAAAGACCGTGATGGAAACGGTCTTACTCTTAAGTCATGGTCAGATACGCGTTGGGAAAGTCGTGTTGCCAGTGTTAGAGCTATCAGGTTCCAAGCACCACAAATTAAACAAGCATTGGAGCACTTAACCAAATTTAGCAATGACCCTAGCACGGTTAGTGATGCCAAGTCTATATCAGATTATGAAATGAACTTTGATTTTCTTGTTGCTTTGGTCATATGGTATGAGATATTGAACAAGGTCAATAAAGTTAGTAAAGTCTTGCAACAAAGAGATATGAATATGAGTTCGGCCATTAGTCTCTTGAAAGGTTTGATTGCATTTTTCAAAGAATATAGAGAAGATGGATTTGAAAAGGCCAAAGTTGAAGCTGAAAAGATTGCCACTGAGTTAGTTATTGAACCTCAATTTCGTGAGACACGAGTCCGTACTAAAAAAAGGTTCTTTGATGAGAATGCAAATGATGAACCAACAAGGTCACAAGAGAATGCATTTAAAGTCACTTATTTCTTAGTTCTTGTTGATATTGCTCATTCTTCACTCTCTAGTAGATTTGAGCAGTTTCATAAGTATGATGATACTTTTGGATTCTTTGTACAATTTGACTAAGTTGAAGGGGTTGAGTGATGAGGACTTGATGCGTTATTGTGGCAACCTTGAAGAGTTTCTCAAGCATGGTGATGATGAGGACATTGACGCCAAAGAGTTACTTTCAGAACTACAGATGCTAAGGGTTTCAATGCCAGGATGCACAAAAAAAAGTGATTGAAGTGTTGGAGTATATAAAAGATATGCATATTTGTTTTCCGAATGCTTGGATTGCCTATAGAATTTTATTGACCATTCCAGTGACTGTTGCAGCTGCAGAGAGAAGTTTTTCTAAATTGAAGCTGATAAAAAATTATCTCCGATCAACCATGTCTGAGGATAGATTATCTGGTTTGGCTACTCTATCGATAGAAAAAAAAATGTTAGCCACTCTTGATTGTAGTGATGTTCTTACGAATTTCGCTCTTCAAAAAGCTAGAAGAATAGGTTATTAGTTTTTATCCATGTATTTTTGAACAATTTGGATCTTTTGCTTTCGAAGAATATCCTCTTTACGTTAAATATTATGTGATACATTTCATATATATCATTCTATTTCATTTGATATTTTGTTTTTTATATTGTTACACTGAATTAAATATAACAAAACAAAATTTCTATATGACCGTCTAGGGCCTCACAATCGCTCTAGACGGCCCTGAAGTCCGACTCAGTAATCTGGCTATGTCTTGATTCATGGCGAATATTCTATATGATTTAACATAATATAAAACTAAAAATTACTCTTACTATCATAACAACGATGTACTCGGTATATAGTCACATATTTATTGATTGTTATACTTTGGTCACGTATTTCATTTTTTTTCGTACGCAGTGACAATTACGCTTTGGGCGCCGTGGCCAATGTCCATCCACGTAACGAAAGTCTGTAGTGACGACTATGATCCCCTGCTTTAGTTTTTCTTTGTTTATTTTGTTAGATTTTAACCCGTGCTTCGCACGGGATGCAGGTAGTAAACAATAAAAATTTTGAGAACATAAAGAAATGTTGTGATAAATAGAGACGAATGTATATATTGTTTGTAACAAAAGTAAATAAATAGAAAAAATTACAAATTATTATATACTTCCTTGTAAACCACATTTGAAGTCTTCTTGACCGGTTTTCCATCATCATCACATATAACAAACTTCAACCCAGACGAAGACGTCACTCTTGAGACCGCGACGTAAAGTTGTCCATGGGTGAAAATCGGGCGACATAAGAAAACACCAACCCTCTCCAAAGACTGCCCCTGACTTTATTAATTGTCATCGCGTAACTAAGCTTAAAAGTATCAATATACTCTATTTATTTTGAAACTTTGCCAACTTTCCTTTTTTGGATGTCTCATTAACTTTGCCACTTTCCCTTTTAATTGAATAATATGTGGTTTCAGTTAATTCTCTCTCCTCTGCACAAATCTCAACCACACAATTTTTACTTTATTAATCGTTGTGCCGGTCAAACTTGACAAAGTTTTGAGGGACAAAGAGAGTATTAAAGCGTTCTGTTCTGACGAATACTCACTTTGAAACTTCTAAGTGAGTATGTGAAAAGTTTTAACATACTCAGTAATATTTATGTACTTCTAAGTCTGATTCTGTAACTTTTTATTTTAAAAACCCAAATTTGTATTTGATTTTAAACACAACAAAAGTCCTTTTAAATTTGAGTTTTAATTTAAAAACCAAACCATCAGAGTTAGTTTTTAAACGATTGTTCAAAACCAAGTTGATCTAGATCATTAACCCCATGACAAAAGGACAATCAGAAATTTTGATTTAAACAAACTTAATTTTTAAATATGTTAGGAAAACCCCCTGTTTCTTGTTATGGGGTTTAAAAAAGCTTAAAACAACATAACTTTAGCTTATAAAGATTGTTAAAAACCAAGAAGGCTTTTACAACCCCTCTGACATGGTTTAAGTAGTGAAAGCTGCACTTTTCAGTACTTATAATCTTAGTGTTTTCAAATCATAGAAAATATTGCATTTAACTGAAGAATGACCAAGTTCCCCTTTCCAGCACTGCTCAAAAATCGTTTAAGACTATGAGCGCGAGAAGTCTTACTGATATAATAGTCTTCATTTATTTTCTCGAATATACCCTAATGAAGTTAAACAAATGGAAGAGAGGTGGACCGTCTTTTGATATTTGAGGAGGAAGACACAAATTGTACCATTTGAATTCCTCAGTAGGCAAACAAAGGAACCATCTTGAAGTCAACTACTTGATGAGGTCTAGGAAGATAGTGAAGTCAACTACTTGATGAGGTCTAGGAAGATAGTATAGCAACAGTGCATGGTATGAGTTGGAAGCTTTTAGTTGTTGCTCAAGTTTGTCTCTCCATTATGTTAGCTATTGCTTCTTGATCATTCTAAAGCTAATTCTTCTCAACATGTAATAGCAACCACTTAAATGAAATGAAAGCAAATAAAGTCTCCAGCTTTGAAAACATTCTGACAAAAGGTAATATATATTATGATAAATTAACTTCTGAAAGCAGAAATGACTCGGAAATAATGTAAAGAATATAAGGTCAATAGAATAAAGTCACAAAGAAGGAAAAAAGAAAATATTGTTCGTATACCAAAGAATCAGTAAAATAGGGTCATAGAAAATCTCATTGAAAATAAATTATTATTGAATATTGATTTGAAGTGCTTGTTTCTTACCATTTTCACACATCATGTTTGACATGGTATGTAAAAAGCAATTTTTTAAGAAACCCCTTGTACTTGCATTTAAAACATTTAACCAAATGAATCAGTAAAATATGATCATAGAAAAATCGAAAAATATGAATATTAATTGAATACTGATCTGAAGTGCTTGTTTCTTATAATTTTCACACATAGTGTTTGTCATGGTAAAGTAAAAGGCTATTTTTTTAAGAATGCCCCATACTTGCATTTAAAACATTTAACCAAATGAATTAAACTCAACTATAAAATGGTGGAATAAAGAAATGTGAATATATAAAAGTACTAAAGGATGCCCGAATCATGGGTTTTTTTTATTTAATAAAAAAGAAATGTGAATATCTAAACGTACCAAACATGGATATTTTTTTAATTATTCAAAAAGAAATGTGAATATAAAAACGTACTAAGAAGGATGCCCAATCATGGATTTTTATTTATTTATTTAGGAAGTATCAAACATGGCAATCAGTTCCTGCTTAATTAAATTTGTCTCTCTACAGCTTTTGCGTCTCACCCCTAAGTTAAATATGGAACTAAAAGATAAATAACTGTAATTATTAAAGATGGGTGTATTGGGTATGCGGCCCTTCATTCTTAATATTCTCCACTTTTTTGAATAAATTTTTCCCGTGTTTATCATTGTCCATTATCTATAGTGACCTTTTTTTATATAAATTGAATTTCTAATATGAAATGGAGGTAGTATATCATAGAAACATGTCTTATCATAAATTGATGGGCTCCTCCGGCAAGTGCCTATTCTCTCAAAAGTAGATCGAGGCATAACTAACCCTTTATCGGCATTTTTTTTAGGTTAACTTGACCTGCCTAAGTGGTTGATAAACCAACATTGAGCGGTCCTACAATATCAAGTTTAAGAACCTAGAAAATCATAAATAAAGTTGATGCTAAGTGAACTAAATTACATATGGAAAAGAAAAGATTTGTTCCTAACTATAGTCTAAGTCTTTGAGAGAAATCATTACTTTTAATTTGAGCTCTACTAAACGCTCACTCCAATCTAACTGTAACATCATTTCCAAAAAGAATTGTTGAGCGAAACAAATTAGTTAGACTAAAAGGCTTGATAAAAATAAGAGCAAAGAGAAACCACATGTTTCATGAGGAGATACCCCTTTTAAAGAAAACTACTGGAGTTGCATTCCTATTTTCTGTAACCCTATAATCGTCTTAGAAATATGAATTGACTTGAGCTAGAGTTTTTTGCTGAGATGTTGCTATTATTTTGGAATTGTAGATGACCTAAAAAGAAAGACTTCTCATTAAATAAAAGCAGAATTTGATTCAACAGTATTTCTTGGTCAGGTTTTAACATTGTGTGAAAGATTTAAGAATGAGTGGATTCAATTAAACTGTGGTATAGACTAAAAATTAGCATAGTCAAAAGAACAAAGCAAACTTGTTTAGGTCTAGGTACTTTAGTAGGTTTGAGAATCAATATCAATATGTATCAAATCAAACCCAATGAAACATGCTTCAATACAACCCCTCTAAAATAATGGTGATATATTCACCTTTGAGAAAAAGTTTAACATACCGAGTTCCATCTTCCCTGGTTTTAGACTGACATGGAGCACCAATGGATTAGAGATCACAATTTAATAAATAAAAACGTTATATTAGTTTAAGAAACTATTTAATCATAATTTACCTTTGTGCTTGTGAGCTGAGGTTGCAATAGCACTTAACATATGTGTTTCTGAGAAACGCCATAAAGGCGAAGTAGTTTACCTGTAACTAAGCGATTTGCAAATTGGTGTTTAACTTAAAAGTGGCAAAAGATGCACAGTAGAAACTGTTTTTCCTGCAATGATTTAATGACAAACTGAATATTTCAATAAAATGATTACAAATAGATCTTTCTGTCAACACCAATGTTTTAGAAACATAACCTTCCCTAAAAAGTACTTGAGTCATAATCAACAAAGAGGCTAAGGATGATAGTAAAACATAACCTGCCCTAAGTAGTACTTGAGTCATAATCAACAACCACACATCAGTAGAAGGAAACAAATAGATTAAACATGGCAATAAAATAGAACCTGCTCTTATGATCTCACAATCTTAAGCTTTGTGTTAAATGTGAAACAAATAGATTAAACATGGCAATAAAACAGAACCTGCTCTTATAATCTCACAATCTTAAGATCTTATAATTCCCTCATAATCTCACAATCTTAAGCTATGTGTTAAATGTGTAAAATTGTATATTGAGCATCTCCTTTCAAAATAGTTAATAATATAAAAAAATCAAAGAAAATAGGAAGAGCACCTGATACAGCAATTCTGCCCCCCTGTTTCAGCAATTTCGCATCCCCCTCTTCAGCAAAGGAACAATTTGAAGGGAGTTAGAGCAAACACCTTCTATTTTATGATGAAAGCACGCACCTAATCAAAAGGAAGAACTACGTATTTACCTTTTGCGATGGAATCTATTTTCATGATGATATGGAATGAATCGGTGAGCAGGAAAGATGAAACGGCAGAGCCAGAGGTAAAAACTTTATAGGGAAGAAAATAGGATCTGCAAATGGAGAATGGAGAATCGATTTGCTCTGTGAGAAGGAAGAGAAATGAAAAGCCCTAGATCTGCCTCATATTTATCGTTCCATCTGTTTGTGTGAAAGGAAGCCATGAGCTAAGACTCGTTTGCTTT